ACACAGCTTGAAGCGGCTTTTCCCTGATCCCGCGGGTCCTGTTCTTTAAGGGGAAGGTCGTGGAGCTCCATGACCCATCCACCCTGCCCCCCTCTGTGGGCTTCCTGGATCTGCTGGGGACTAAGAGGGGAAAAGAGTCCCCCTGCTTCTAGCCCCCCACTGAGTAGGCGAGTGTGGAGTAGGAAGTTCCTTGGGGGGTTGATGGGTGTGTGTGGGGGTAAGGGGCGGGGCCCAGTGTGACTCAGGCCTGGTCTGGGGTGAGAGCCAAAAGGATATCCTGAGGCAGGAGGGGGGATTGTTCCTGGCTTCCCTGCAGCCTGGGTCCCCAGGGAGGGATGCTGGGAAGGGGCTGGTAGCATCTAGTTCTGTGCACAGTTTGCCATGGGATTCAGAATGCAGCAGTCTCAGGGTGTGGGGCTGGGCTGAGGGCATGGCTGAGGGAGCTGCTGTAGCCTCCCTCAGCCCCCATGGCCACCATGCGACATTGTGAGCGTGCTGTGCTTCCTGCGTGGCAGAGCAGGGTGAGGTGGTGGAGAGAGGGGCAGCTGCCAAGGTGAGGGTGGGGAAAGCCCCGTGCCAGGCTGGGTTTGAGGACGGTGGTTTCCAAGCTGGGGGGTCCCCTTTTGTCTGTGCCCCTTTAGTCACTGGCCCCCCTCTGCACACACGCGGGTGTGCATGTGCGTGCGCATACACACACACACACACACACACACAGAGCTGCCTTTGTATGGTCCACACACTCCTGTGGTCTGGCTGTGGCCTAGGCAGGCTGGTCTCTTCCTCTTCCTGTTTTCTTCCTTCCCTATGGGTTGGTCGCTCTCCTTGAGGCCTGGGCTGCCCCCTGCCCTTTCACCTACTCTTTGGCTCTCAGCAGGTCCGGGACCGGGTGGAAGGCTTCAGCTATTGTTCTGGGTGGACCCCCTCAGCTGCCTAGGCTCTGGGCATCCTAAGCAGGGGCCTCTGGGTGCCATCCCTCGTGGTGGAGGGGATGGGAGCATTACCTTCCTGGAACAGACTCCCACTTCCTTTCCCTGGAGCCTGACCTGTCCTGGGCCTGGGTTGTCCAGTCGTCCTCCCTGCCGGTTGGTATTTAGCCACTGCTAAAATTGTGGTGGGTGGAGGTCAGGCAGCTCTGTGTAGCTGGGGCACAACCTTGGGCTGGGTGGAGGATGAGTGGGGGCACTCAGATCCATTCTTCTGGGATAAGGCTCTGTGTCTTGAGCCACAGGCAGAGGTGGCGCCCAGAGGCAAGATGCTGGACTTCTGGCCTTCCCTAGCCCCATGGAGGACATGCTTAGGACCCGCACTGCTGGGGCAGATTTTTACACCCACCCCGGCGACAGTGAGGCAGGCCCCGGGTTCTGTGGGGCTGGTGGGGAAGAGACGCCCTGGCCTGTGCCAGCCTCTCCCAGGCGCTCTTTCTTAAACCCTCCTAGGTGGTCTCTTTCTCAAGGAGGCTGGGCTTACATGGCTTCCTGCAGCCCAGCCCAGATTCTGGTGAGCGGATGGGAAACAGAGAACAGAGTGGTGGGGTTGTGGGTTCGCTGGGGAGGCAGGGCATGAGCGCCTTGGCCAGAGGGACCCCTGGAAAAAGGGGAGAAAGGGAGTGGTGGTCATCGCTGCTGCCGTCTCGGCAGATCTGAGGAGCATGGGGGAGGGGCAAGGTTGTGGTTTGAGTGTGTTTTCCTGGAAAGTTTATAAATAGTTCCAACCCACTGTTCTAGTTTGAAGTCTGCCTTGTCCCGCCCTCCTGGGCCAGCTCCTTGGTAGGGTAGGGGTCCAAAGGGGGCAGGTCTTTGTTGCTGCCAGGGCTGGAGTCCCTCCTACCCCAGTTGAGCTTGAGCACTGGGTGTCATTTGCATATGATTCACTAACTGTCTAGAATGCTTAGGAAACCCCCGTCTCCCCTTCTCCTAAGCGCCCCAATCCTTGTGCCCCTCTCAGCCCCTCCGTACTGCCTGACTTCTGTTCCTTGGGAACCACTCTTTGAGGGGAGCCAGGAGAGCAGAGAGACTGAAGAAGGGAGGCTAGGCTGGCTGAGCTCCTGGGCCCCTTGCTCTTCTCCCCCGAGGATAAGGGAGGAAATGGTCTTATATCTCTTCCCCTTCCCCCTCCCCAAATCCAAAGGTTTCCCTTTTTTGGTTTGTGAAATGAAAAGGGAATTTGGGAAAGGCTTGTGGTCAGACCTCCACCCGCACCTCAAATATCCCTCTCCCCACATCCCTCTCCTTGTCTGGGGGAAGCAGACCCTGGGAAATGGGTAATACTCCCTGCAGGCCTGTCCACCCGATGCTGGCCCTGTGGGGAGGCAAGGGTGAGCAGGCTTCGGGCCCCACACCCCACACCCCGGAGGTGGAGGTGGTGGTGAGAAGCGTGGGGGGAGGGAGGATCCCAGTTGCCTGGGGCCTCCGGCAGCCAGACCCGGTGCTCGGTGCTTTCCAGGACTTCACAGATCGCACTGCCGTTGTTGAGGTGTGCAGCTCACAGGCGAGTAAACAGATGCTTAGAGAGCTGAATGACTTGCCTAAGGTCACCCGGAGTGGCAGAGCTGAGATTTGACCCTTCACGCCTCTGGGTTTTTCTACCCTCTTCATGGCTCAGACAGCTCTTACTTTTTTCTCCAGGTGTATTACTCGGAGGTGTTAAGTGGGCAGTGGTGGGGAAGGGATGCTGGCATCTTCCAGGGGTGAGGGAGGCCCGCAGACGGGCACATGGCTGGTGGCAAGCCCTCCAGTCCCTGCCCCTTTTTCTGCTGTGCTTGGGCTGGGCTCTGTGTGCTGGAGGTGCAGGCCTGTGGTTTACCCTCAAGGGAGGGTGCCTGTGGGCAGTGGAGGTGGCTGGCATAGTGTGGAGGTTGGATGTAGGTAGTTTATTTCCCTCTCTTTAGTGCTGGTTTCAGTTCTCTGACGGGGCTTTCTCCACCCTTGGGTGCAGCAGCTGGGGCCCAGGTGTCTCCCTGAGGGTCACAGCTCACGAAGGACCCACGTCTGAGGCAGGACCTGTGTTCTTTCTGTCCCGCCCCATCATCCCTGCCCTTGCCCGTCCCTGTTCCCTTGTTAGCCTGGCCCTTGGCCCATTTCTGTGACCTTTACCCCTCTCTGGGCCCAAGGCCCGCCCTCCCTCCCTCCCAGGAGCTCAGTAACTGCACTGAAGTTTGCAGGCTTAGCTGGGTCAGACTAGGGGAGACTCCCCTAGCAGGAGGAGAGGCCTTCTAGCCTCTCCCAGGGGTATATATCTATTGGGAGGCTTAAAGTTTAGTCCAGCTTCAGACTCCTCTGGGGGCAGAGCTGAACAATTAATTCTAAGGAAGCTGTAGTTATTTCTTCTCTGGGGGCAAGGGTGGGTCCTAGAAGGGCCAGGTTGGAGTGACTGAGCCTGTCCTCAGCCCCCCAGGAGCTGGGTTAGGAGGCTTGGGGTCAGAGTGAATGGATTTCTGTGCCTTGCCTGAGAAGGTCTTACTTTGGGTCAGCTGCCTCCAGAGTGTCACCTCTAAGGAGGCAGGACTGTGTGGACTTGAACACCTGAGTGTTTGTGAACCCTGGTGTGTGTTGTCAGGCTCCGTACATGGGCTGGGCCCATAGGCGGGGCTGTGGAGTGTCTCCTGGCAGAAGAGTCAAGTCCATGGGCCAGCCTGACTGTGTGAGGGTCAGGGACTGTGCTGGGTGGAAAGCTGTGAGCCTGTCGTGTGTCTGCAGGGGCTGTGTACGAGGACCCATGCACACAGGCCTTTAACTGCTCATTGTGTGGTGGAGCCCAGGTGTGGAGAGATTGCATCTACAGGCTCCCTCTCCTCACGTGCATGCCTGCACACACACAGGCCGGGGCTGCAAGCGTGCTCTTGCCCACCCAGATGCTTTCTGTAGACCTGCATGTGGGAGTTTCTGCACATGCGTGGTGTGTGTTTGTGTGTGAGGGTCCGACTATAGATGCCAATGAGATTCAGCCAGCCCCTCCTTCCTTTGCCTGGCTCCCCCAGCTCAAGTTCCCGTTGTAAGGGGCCTCGCATGGGGGGGGGCGCAGGGCAGCAACAGGTCTGGTGGGTGGGTGGGGTCCCCGTTCCTCTGACGTCAGCCCTCAGCCTGGGAGGGAATCTTCTGGGAAGGCAAAGGGCACCTTATTCAGGAGTGAGGGGAGAGGTCCTATGGTTGTCCTAAGAAGTAACAGTAGAAATCATGGTCATTAACAAGGTCTAGATTTCACTCCTGGGGCAGCCGTCCCTTCCCTAACCCATACCTGTCCTTTCTCCCCCAGTCTAGCAGAGCCTGGCCGGCTGGCTCAACTGAGCCCAGAGTCCTTTCCTCTTCCGGAGTGGCCCTGGCAAGAGCTCCCCCAGTAATGCTGCCCGCCTGTGGGTCCCCTGGACTCCAGGTTTAAGCCTGGAGCCCGGTATGTTCTGAGCTAAGGGTGGGGACAGGGGAGAATGTTGGTAAAGGTCAAATCTTAATTTGGGTCTCTGTGGCTCTGTTTTCTTTTCTAACAGCTTTATTGAGATATAACTCACATATCATAAAACTCACTCATTAAATAATTCAGTAGTTTTAGTACACTCAGAGTTGTGCAACTACCACCACAATAAATTTCAGAACTTTTTTTTTTAAAAGATTTATTTATTTGAAAGGCAGAGTTACAGAGAGAGAGACACACACAAACACACACACAGGGAGGGAGAGGTCTTCTGTCCATTGGTTCATTCTCCAAATGCCCACAAAGGCCAGATCTGAGCTGATTTGAAGCCAGGGGCCAGAAGCTTCTTCTGGGTCTCCCACTTGGATGCAGGGGCCCAAGCACTTGGGCCATCCTCCACTGTTTTCCCAGGCACATTAGCAGGGCACTGGATCAGAAGTGGAGCAGCCGGGACTTGAACCACCAGCGTCCATATTGGATGCTGGTGCCACAGTTGGTGGCTTTACCCACTACATAACAGTGCCAGTCCCCAGGACTTTTTTTTTTTTTTTTAAGATTTATTTATTTGAAAGTCAGTTATGCTGATTCACTCCCCAGATGGCTGCAACCACCAGCACCTGGGGCAGGCCGAAGCCAGGAGCCAGGAGCTTTTTCCAGGTCTCTGAGGGTAGCAGAGGCCTAAGCACTTGGGCCATCTTCCACTGCTTTCCCTAGGCCATTAGCAGGGAGCTGGATAGGAAGTGGAGCAGCTGGGACACAAACTCGCGCCCATATGTGATGCCAGCGTCCCAGGTGGCGGCTTTACCCACTATACCACAACACTGGCCCCCAGAACACTTTTTTCTCACCCTAAAAAGAGCCTCCACACCATCAGCTGTCTTCCCATTTCCCTTCACTCCCTGCCCCCAGTCCCCTGGTAACAACGGATCTGCTGTCTGTCTGCAGATTTGTTTGTTCTGGACATTCGTATAAATGGAATTATATTTGATCTTTTGTAACTAGCATAGAGTTTTCAAGTTTTATCCCTGTTGTAGTGTGTCACTCCTTCCTTCCTGTTCCTTTATTTTGACACAGTAATATTCTCTTGTGGTTGTATGATACTTTGTTCATCAGCTGACTAGATTGGAGCTGTTCTACCATTTGGCTGCTATATGCACATTCATGTATAAGTTCTCTTTGTGAACTTGAGAGTTGTCAGATCTCTCACCTGGGAGAGGAATTGCTGAGCCCATGGTAACTCTGTGTTTAATCTTTTGAAGAGCTGCCCACATGTCCTCCAGAGTAGCCACACTGTTCTACATTCCCACCAGCAGTGGGTGAGGATTCCACATTCTCCACACCCTTGCTAGTACTTGTTACCTTTTTGATTATAGCCATCCTAGTGTGTGAGGTGCTGCCTCATTTCTGGCTTCTTTTTTGTTTCACTTTTTTCACGTGTGTGTGTGTGTGTGTGTATTTATGTATAATGTGTGCCTAAAACGGATCTGAAATATCCTCTTGTGGCTCTCATCTTCTGCTTTGCCCTTGTCACTGCCTGTCTCACCCTGCCATAGGATCTCTGGGTTCATCTTTCTCTCTCTACCTCCTGGTGTTATATATGCCTGTGCTCTGGTCCCCATTGTTCAAACAGGGTGTGGGTCTGTGTCTACAATGTTGAGGTGGGCTTCTGGCCTTTCATCTCCTGCCCACCTCCTGCCCTCTGATGTGTTGCCTCTGCAGACAGAAGTATGGGTGAACTCTGAGATTGGTCTCTTGTTCCTTCATTGCCTGGGGACAGGAGGCTCCTGTCCTGGGCAGTTCCTGCCCTCCTGGACCTACTTCTGAACCATCCATGCTGTTATGCATTGGAGGTGATAACCTGACAGTCCTTGGTCCCCATTTCCCTATTTGTCTGTGTGTGCCTAGGCTTTCTCCCCAGGCCTGTGGGACCAGCCCATCTTGGGTGCTGGGGCTTGGATTTGGGGGGAGGGAAGTGGTGTAAGAGGGGCCCTCCAGCTTAGCAGTCATTTTTCTGAGAAGTGCCAATGCTTTAGGGAAGCGGCTTTTCCTCCCACTCCCTCCTCCCTCCCCACCCGCCAAGCACACGTTCTCTGCATCTTGACCTCAGGTAACCCACACTGGGGGAAGGAGCCAGCTTCTGCCTCCACTGCAGCGCTCTTTAGGGTGGTACTGTGAACCCTTTTCCCCCAGGGTTGTGGGTGGGAGGCCCTCCAAGGCTCTGGACTCTGTCCTGCCTCCCTAGCCTGGCGGTGCTATCCTGCCACCCCCAGCAGTGTCTGGGCCCTGCTCCCAGGCTGTCTCTGCCAGCCAGGCACGGTGCCAGCTGTCTGCTCAGCTGGGTGCCACAGGAGAATCTCAGGCCGCCCAGGTTGGGGAGCTCCATGGGGAATGCCCGAGTGCCTGCTCTTCAGCGCCCACTCACCTGCCTTTCCTCTTTCTGCAGCGTCACAGGACGTGGCCCCCCCCAGCCGCTGAACTGGGGCCCATCTAGGAGCAGCATCCTTGGCACCCTGAAAGCCGGCTCTGGACCTTCCCGGGAAAGCTCCCAGAACTGCTTGACCAACGGACTGGCTCTTGGGGCATCCCCAACCCATCTGGCCCCCGGCTGGGGGCCTCCGGAAGGCTGAAATTTGCTTGCTGACCTTAGAGAGCAGCTTCAAGACCAAAGGGGGGGGTGGGCTGACCACCCAAGCCCCCTCTGGGCCCAGGCCCCATGCCCCGAGGAGGGGCGGCCTGAAGCCCGCCACAGCCTGCACCAGACTGTCTGCCTGTCCTTCTGACTGTGGCCGCTTGGCATGGCCAGCAACAGCAGCTCCTGCCCAACACCTGGGGGCGGGCACCTCAATGGGTACCCAGTGCCCCCCTACGCCTTCTTCTTCCCCCCTATGCTGGGTGGCCTCTCTCCGCCAGGCGCTCTGACCACTCTTCAGCACCAGCTTCCAGTTAGTGGATACAGCACACCATCCCCAGCCAGTAAGTTGTGGCGCTGTGGGGGTGGGAGTGGGGGAGGGGGCCGTGGAGGGCAGCAGGCCTCAGGGCTTGGGCTCTGGGCACATCTGTTCTACCGCAGGTGCATTGAGCCAGGAGCTTTTCCTCATACAAAGGGCACCATCATTTTGGGGGCTCAAGGATGAGAGCCCATAGCTTGTGAGCTGATAACAATGGTTATATTTGATGCAGGGGGTTGGTAGAGGGAGAGAGGAAACCATGATGTTCCAGCCCCTGGTGCCCCTTGGGCCCCTCTCCTGTGCTCTGTTGTTGAGGGCCTTATAAATAGCTCCAAGGACTGGACAAAGAGGCCAGAGACCGGTAAACAAACCTCTCAACATTTGGTGGAAATGGCAGCTCTACTGAGAGCACCCCCCCACCTCCATCCCCAGCCAGTAGAGGAGCAAGGTGGGAAACCACTCCTCCCCGGCCAGCCTGCCTGCTCCCGGCCATGCTAGGATGGGCTTCCCTTTAGCCTGGTGGACAGGGCAAGTGTCCCAGGAGGGGGCGCTCAGCCTGGACTCTGTCCTTGGATGATTGCATGGTCTTGGCAAGGCCTGTGTTTTCTTTCTGCCTCCGCCTTCTGCCATGGGGGTCACCCATTGGCTGGGCAGGGGTCTCAATACCCTTTTCCTGGCTGGCCAAGCCAGGTAGTGGGAGGTGGCGGCAGCTATGGCCAGCTGGCAGAGTCCAGGCCTGGGGCCTGCCAGGCCGCTTACAGTAACTCTGGCCCCCAGGGCCCAGCTGGGCTCTAGGCCAGGGCTGGGGAGGAGGGAGCCGGGCCTGGCCTGGGGCGGGAGTGGGTGGAAGCAGTAGAAAAGGCAATGGACAGCGGCTGGCCGGTCAGCTGCTGACCTGGGAAACGTGTCCCACCTCTGTGGGCCAACAGGGACTGAACACCCTGCCCCGGGCACCCACCACCCCTCCCACGGCTGTTGGCAGGCTGCCTGGCACCACTGCCCTGTGTGCCCGGGCTGGGCTGGGTCAGTGCCCCCTTCTTGGTGTGGGGGCAGCGTTTTCTCCCCGGAGCCAGGGAGTCTCTTTGTCCCTGGGGCAGGCCCTGGCTGGGCGCCTCACTGCCCACACTGGCCGTCTGCCCACCGCCACCACTGCTTCCTGGATCGCCTCCTCTGGCTCTGCCGCAGCCCCCTCCCTCCCAGGCCCCACTAGCTGCCAGGAGCAGCAACTCCACTCTGTGCTCCTTTACACCCTGGGGCAAGGGGGGCAGGCAGGTGCTGCCTCAGTTTCCCGTGCCATCCCTCCTCAAACCTTCGTCTTCTGTTTTCTCCCTCTCTTCTCTTCACCTCACACTACAGTGAGAGGCAGATGGGGCCCGGGAACTCTGACCCTGGTCCAGTCTGTGCTGACAATGGGGGGAGGCCAGCCTAGGGGGTTCTGGGCTGCTGGGAAATAGATGGGTGTATCTGAGTGGGATAATCACTGTATTTAAAGGGATTGAGATTCATATTCTGGGCTTGGGTCACTGGAGCTAGAATCACATCTGCATCCTGCCAGGATGGGATTTTTAAGCAGGGGAGGAGTTGGAGCCTGCAACCTGGCACCTGTGGACAACGTGTCCTTCCCCAGGTGACAGGAACAGAGGTGCTCTACACTGCCCACCTGGGGCCTGGATTCACCACAGGGCTGGCAGGGGGCTAGGACCTGGCCCAGTCCTTGCTTGTGCTGTGCCAGATGAACAAATGCTCTACCCTCCCCTGAGTGTTGCAAGCCTCTTCCTCTTTCCTAGAGCTGGGTGGAGAGGGCTTCCCACCCTGGTAACCTTCTACCCCCAGGGTGGGGTGCCCACATTTCGGGCAAGTGCAGCCTTCTTCGCTTTCCCCACCCAGGTTAGGCAATGCCCCCTTCCTGCCCCCTCCCTTCCCAGCTCCTCCCCCTCCCTAGTAAACAACAACTCTTCCCTCCTCACTGACCTTCACCTCCTTGGGACCAGGGATGTGGCAGTGGACCTGAGGGAGACAGGCATCTTCCTCCCTCCAATTAAAAAAAAAAAAGTTTCGGTCTCTTCCCTGTCACTTTGCCTGTCAAATAAATAAACAAAAATTTTAAAAAGGGATGTGTGTGCTATGGTGCAGTGAGTTAAGCCACTGCTTACAACGCCCTCACCCCGTATCAGAGCACTGTTCTGGCTAATCTGCTTCTGATCCAGCTCCCAGCTAATGCATCCTGGGAAGGCAGCAGAGGATAGCCCAAGTGCTTGGACCCTTGCCACCCACAAGGGAGACCTGGTTTCTGACTTCACGCCTGGAACAGCCCTGGCCATTGCGGGCATTTGGGAAGTGAACCAGCATATGGAAGATCTGTCACTCTCGTGTCAAGTAAACAATATTTTTTTATAAAATTAAAAGTTTATTTTCATCTAATTGAAAGGTGTCAGAGGTAGGGAGAGATCAAGATCTTCCATATGCTGTTTCACTTCCCAAATGCCCACAAACCAAGGTGAGGCCAGGCAGGAGCCAAGAGCCCAGAACTCAACCTGCATGGAAGCGGAGTAGCTGGGACTTGAACCAGCTTGGATATGGGATGTGGGCATTGCAAGTTGTAGCTTAACCTGCTGCATCACAATGTCCACCTCCTCCCTTTTAAAAAAAAGATTATTTATTTATTTGAAAGGCAGAGTTACACAGAGAGAGAAGCAGAGGCAGAGAGAGAGAGAGAGAGAAAGAAAGAGAACAGTCTTCTATCTGCTGGTTCATTCCTCAGTTGGCTGCAATGGCCAGAGCTGCACCAATCTGAAGCCAGGAGTTTCTTCCAGGTCTCCCACGTAAGTGCAGGGGCCCAAGGACTTGGGACATCTTCTATTGCTTTCCAAGGCCATGGAGAGAGCTGGATTAGAAGTGGAGCAGCTGGAACTCAAACCTGTGCCCATATGGGAAGCCGGCACTGCAGGGGGTAGCTTTACCCGCTACGCCACAGCACTGGCCCCCCTCCCCCTTCCCTCCTTCTTGTGCAAGGCACCTCAGCTCTGGGTAGGGAAGCAAGACAGGCCTGCCCCAGAGATGGAGGCAGCTTTGCCTCTGCACGGAGGTTCAGGCAGTCCCTAGGAGGGGTAGAGTAGAAGTGGGTGGCCCTCCATCCCTGCAGGGAACAACAATGGGGTGCTCTGGTCCTCTGTCACCTCGCCCCATCCCCACCAAACAAAGGTGTGGAAATGGTCCTCCTTCCCCTCCCAGCCCTCTCCACAGTTGAGAAGGAGGGTAGCACCTTTGTGTCCTGGTGGTGTGGGACAGCAGGCAGCCCTTCCTAGTCCCTGGGGAGGGGTGAGTATTTGTCCTGCCACAGTCTCCTAGGGAAAGAGGTTGAGAGGCCCCAGAGCTGGGACTGGATTTTCTCCCCTGTGCCCCCACAATAGCCCCTGGGGCATGGCCTCTGGGGACTGGTGTTTACCCTGGAGGTTTAGGATTCTGTGTGCATTGTGGGGTGGGTCAGGGTGGTGTGTATTTTGGGAGGGGGGGTCATGCTTGTGTGTGTCTAAGGAGTAGGGGTCAAGGCTGAGTGTGTGTTGGGAAGGGGATTATTGGCTTTTGCATACTGGGTGAGAGGGTCAGAGAGCTGTCTTGTCTGGTAAGGATCCCATCTAGAGCTGCCGAGGGGTTGTCAGTGGGCCTGTTTGTGTGCTGAGGCTGGGGCGGGGCAGGGTTAGAGCTTAAGGGGAGCGGGGTGGTCTTCAGATTGGATTGTGTGTTTGGGAGAGGAGCATCTCTATTTCTTATCACTCTTCTGTCTGGAGGGGAGAACTTCCCTGCCTTTTCTGTTGAAGTCTGACCAGGGGTTGTGGAATAGGCACTGTAGCTTGGGTTAAAACTTGGACAGTTGTGCCACTTGCTGTGTCCTGAAAACCCCTCTGAGCAGCCTGTTTTCCCATTTGTAAAGCAGGGGTATTACCAGAAGCTACCTGAAAGGGCTGAGAAGCAGGCAGTATCACAGACACGGTGCACTCAGCCCTGCACCTTGTACTTGACCCTGTGTGTGGGACCCAGGCCCTTCATAGCTTGGAGTTGGCGAGAATGGGGTGCAACATCTGTGCTCCTCTGTTTTAGAAACCTTAATTCCTAAGGTCCTGGGAGAGGGACATTATCCCCCACTGACAGAAGAGGAAACAGGGTTGGGGAAGTTTAGTACCACAGCAGCCAGTGTGTAGGGCTGTGAAGTGGGGGCAGGTGGGGGCTGTTTTCCACCACCCAGTAGGCAGCTTTGCCATGGGGGTTCCTGGTGTGGGGAGCCGGGAGAGGGCTCAGTGCCAATGTTGAAACCCCCTCCCCCACTGTTGATGTTCTGCCTCCAGTAGGAGGCACAAGGAAGGCCCCCTTCCGGCCCTCCCCGCCCCCCCAGCCATGCCACCCCTGCTCTGTTTTGGATCCTGAAGGCTGGAGGGAAAGAAAGATAAGAGGCCTGGGCCAGATCTCCATCCTGTCCTGGAAGCTGTGGATACAATCTGTTCACACCCATCCCCACCCCCGAATCTGCCCGCAGCAGCCCAAGGGAGCTTGCAGAACTCAGCAGGCACCCTCCCCCCCTCTGCAGACAGGCACTGAAGGAACAGAGTGTAAAAGCCACAGTTCTTATCCTGATTCTGTTTCAATTTGTAGGGTGGGGGCAGGGAAGCGGGAAGCTGGGGATGGGAGCTGGAAAGGGGGAGCCTAGACTTTTCCATCCACAGATGAGCATGTGCACCTGGAGAGTGGGGACAAGGCCTGAGGGTCTGGGGGAACTCCCGGGTAGGACACAGAGCCCTGTCCTCTGCCACTTCCTTCCCTGTGCAGTTCGGGGTCCTCCTTCCCTCTCTTTCCCTGGAGAATAAGAGGGACAGCCCAAGGGAAGGGGATGCTGCCAAGCAAAGCCTTTCCTGGGTCCAACACGCAGTCAGCCAAAGGACCTTTCTGGGGGTTTCCATGAACATGGGTGCCCTCACCTTTCATTCCCCAGCGAGTAAATGCACAGACCCCCGCAGGGCATCAGGGCAGGGT